CAGCACGGCATGGAGGAATGCTTAGAACTGCTTCTCTTCCGTGACGCCTAGCATTCCAGACATTGTCCACTCCCTTATTGTAGGGTCATGGTTCACATCTTCCAATCAACTTGAAAGATGTGATTTACTTCCGGTTTCTTTCTCCCGGGCTATCCTTATGCTCCTCCCTCTTTCCTAGTTGCTGGTTTAACTATATATAAACCAGACAGTTCTGCACATTGTCAAAGCAAGAATATACAGTATTTGCAGCGTTGACACTGGAAGAGCTAACATCGACCTTGCAAGACTGAAAACTGTTTGACTGTTTGAAGTTACAAGGGCACTGAAAAAATGACTTTATGACCGTTTTCCACACTTACGACCGTTGCAAGCAGCTCCAGGGTCACGTGATCAAAATTCAGATGCTTGGCAACTGACTCATATTTATGACGGTCGCAGTGCCTTGGGGTCACGTGATCAGCTTCTGCGACCTTCTGACAAGCAAAGTCAATGGGGAAATCAGATTGAAATCAGAACTGCAGTGGTTCACTTAACAACTGGAGCAAGAAAGGTCATAAAATGGGGCAAAATTCACTTCACAAATGTTTCACTTAGCAACTGAAACTTTGGGCTCAGTTGTGGGCGTAAGTTGAGGACTACCTGTATTGTATGATGCACGAGAGGATATTTCCACTGGTTTGCTCATAATTCCACCACATTCTTCCCATTAGAAGGTCTTTGAAATGGCTTTCTCCTTGGAAATAAAATTCTAAGACCTTCTCCTTCATCCAAATGAAGGAAAACTGGTAAGGAAAAAATGGTAAGCTAGGTTCTCTGCCAGCCTTAGCATAAAGTTTTATCAGAATATTCTTCCAAACCTACCTGATCCTAACCCTCTATTTCATTTCAGTCCTCAGGCGTTTTGAGAAGGTCCCTGCTTCCAATCTTATCTTCACCACTGAGGAATCAGAAACAATTGGAACTAAAACACTCCAAGGAACGCCTATGAACACCCTTCAGCAATGCGTTGCAGGTCAATAATGTTTCCAATGCTTTTGCTTTCCAAGCCTAAAGTCTCCTTAGCAAGTGGTCTGTAAACACAGTCATCTGTGTTAAATGTCATACAGGATAAAGCGACTGTATCAGTGGTTGTGAGGTCCTTGGGGCTCTCTGAGCTTGGTGGTTTTCTTGCAGATGTTTCATTACCTTACTAGTGTTGAAGGAAAAGTCTTCATCAGGGTTCAGTCCAAGCCGGGAATAAACAACATGGCGACTGTTTTAGAAAGAAGGTTGCAATTTATTGAAGAGGAGAGCCAGACAGAAAGATGGCTTCAGAAGAAAAGAGTGAGCACATGTAGGGAGTGGGTTTTTATACCCTCTGGAGCCTTTTGTTTGGAGTTGTTCCTGTGGCATGAACTTTGATCTGAGTCTGAGTGTGCCTTTTTGGCATCTGTGGTTTAATCCCGTCTTAGAGTTTGGGCGGGATATGTAGATTTTAGGTGTCTTTATCTTCCTAAGCTTCTAGCTGGGGACCTCCAACCTTCCTGGATTATTTACATCTGCATTTCTACAGAGCTGGTTTCTGCTTGGGGGAGGGAGACTTGGGGCTATTAAAAAAACTGGGCATGCTTTTCTGCCTCTTTAAGATCCTTTGAGGAAATATATTTTTCTGCCCTTTTAATATTTCCTTCTCTGGGGGGCTGACTTCCCACACTAGGTAACATCATCAGTGCTAGAAGGGAGTGGGGTCAATCCTGAGTTACAAATATTCTCTTCTATTGCTGTCAGTGGTTGCTATTCATGGCAGCTATGTATTTCCTTCAATGTTTATGACACACCAGGCCTCAGAGTATAAACTGCTATCTGTCCTACCTTGTAGAGCTGGGGTCTTCAAACTTGGCAACTTTAAGACTTGTGGACTTCAACTCCCAGAATTCCTCGGCTGGCTGAGGAATTCTGGGAGTTGAAGTCCACAAGTCTTAAAGTTGCCAAGTTTGAAGACCCCTGTTGTAGAGGGTCAAGATACAAAGTCAAGTGCTGTCTGTTGAACAGAGGACCTTATCTAAAAGAAGGCCAGTGTATTTACTGCTGGTTGCATTCATTGCTCAAGCAAAGACAGTGGTATTGATTCCAAAGCTCATGTGACACATCTTTTGTTGTTTACAGAATGCGAGGAGGATGAGTCCTGTGGATTTCTCACCCTGTCAGCCATGGGCTCAGAAACATTGTGTGAGCTGTACAGTGCTCGGGAGAGCAATTATAACTGCTCTACTTCTGGACTGGTAACTACGTACATGTGTTTTATGATGATAAGATAGGGAACTAAAGGTGATACCTTCTCCCTTTAAGTGTGCTTTGAGATCCATCAACTGGGGCCCCATCAAGAGCTTGAAAGCTGAAAAATGATAGCATTAAGAAGGCATTTTAAGATCACGGACTTAATCTTAACCCTGCCATGGGAGTGGATTTTATATTCCATGTACAAATATGACACTGTAATATAGAACAGTGATGGCAAACCTTTTAGAGACCGAGTGCCCAAACTGCAACCCAAAACCCACTTATGCATCATCGGGTGCCGGGTGGGTGTGGCCCATTGGGTGGGCGTGGCTGCGGTGGTAACGGCAGACAGGGTGGGACTAAAAAGTTCAATCAATCAATTCGGACTTTGCAAGATCTTTTTTTTCCCCGCGAGAAGTTGAAACTGATTGATTTGATTGATTGAACCTCTTTTTTTTGTACACGGCGACGGAGGCCTAAAGCGAAAAGGTTTTATAAAACCCAGCTGAAGGCCTAGGACTGGGGCGATGGCGCGCGTGCCCACAGAGAGGGCTCTGAGTGCCGCCTCTGGCACCTGTGCCATAGGTTCGCCACCACTGATATAGAACATCGAATCATAGTGCTGGAAGAGACCTCAGAGGTCTTCTTGTCCAGCCCTCTGCTCAAAGCAGGAGACCTTATACCATCCCAGTCAAATGGTTGTCCAGTCTATTTTTGAGAACCTTCAGTGATGGAGCACCCACAACTCCTGAAGGAAAGTTGTTCCATTGATTCATTGTTGTCACTGTCAGAAAATTTCTCCTTACTTCTAGGTTGGATGTCTCTTTAACAAGATTTCACCCATTACTTCTTGTTCTGCCCTCAGGTGCTTTGGAGATTAAGTCAACCCCCTCTTCTCTGTGACAGCCCTTCAAATACTGGAAGACAGTTATCATGTCCCCCTAGCCCTTCTCTTCAATAGTCTAGATCAGGGGTAGGCAACCTTGGCTCTTTTATGACTCGTGGACTTCAACTCCCAGAATTCCTGAGCCAGCCATGCT